CAATTTTCATGGACAGAAATAGTTATAAAATAAGCAAAACCTTCACCAGAATCTGACTTCCCTCCTTTTTTGCCCAAAATGTTAACTATTACACAAATATGGTGGTGCAGCTGCTGTATCTTCAGGCCCCGGGGCACCGCTCCTGCCTCTTGGGAGAGCCCGGCCAGGCAGGCCAGACCAGGCACCTCCAGAGTGTGGAGGATTTGATGGCGAAGCCCAAGAGTGAAGTGGTCACAGCAGGCAGGGGCCACCCCTCCCCTGCGCTGGGCTCAACAGACCTTGGGAGCACTCCTGGCCCAGAATGGCCACCGGGGCCCTGGCTGCAGCCTAGGAGGTGCCCAGACTTGAGGAGCAGCGGCCTATGCCAGGCTGGACCAGGGACATCAGCTGCCAGCCCCTTCCGCCCTGTAGCTCAGACCAGCAGGGCAACAAAAGCCCCACCTCCTCCTGACTTCTGGGTAGGGGGGGATTATTCCCCTCCAGATCCGCAGGGTGCTGAAGGACAGGTCCTGCCCCTCCTGGGCCAACCCGAGCCTCTTGCACTTGTTCCTGGCAAAGGCAGTAAGCCGGGGGGCTGTGGAAGGTGCAGGCCAGGCCGCAACTAAGGCTTCTGCTTGTCTGTGCCTGCCCTTGGGGAGAGGACACCCACAGCAGGGGCAGGAGGGGTGCCGGACCGAGCCAGCAGGAGTCCAGACCCAGTGAAGCAGGAATCCAGCCTGCAGGTGCGAGGCCACTCCCACGCTGGGCGCACGTGACGCCCCACCGGCTTTTTAAGAACAGACCTGATACAAGTTGAGCACTGGCCTTGAGAAGATGCTTAAACCCTGACACATAAAAAAAAAAAAAAAAAAAACACCGTACTGAATTCACAGCAGCCTGCGGCGCCCCGTGGGGGAGGGGAGTGCTGCGTTAGAAACCCTGGAGCTCTTCATTTCTCCGAATTTCAGCGGAGCCCTCACTTTGCTGTGTGGCCTCCCAAGAGTTACTCCACCTCTCTGAGCCTGGGGTTTCTCAGTCCCAAAAGCGGTGTCTGCTCCTCCGCACTCCATCCTCCCAGGGCCAGAGAAGGGAGGAGGGGTCCGGTCCCCCAGGTGCACTGGGACATCTTTAAAAAGTCCTGCGGGTCCCCGAGGGGGCCGGAGCTGCGGATCAGACTGGCTCTACCTTCGCGAAGCTGCGCAGGCGGGTCTGCCCTCGAAATCCGGGCTCCCAACCTCTGCCTCGGTTTCTCCGCACCGTCTTCCCTCCCCACACAGCTCCTACCTAAACCCAGGCGGTGCGCGCTCCCTGGTCTCTCCGGGCGCAGGTCGGGGATGCCACAGGGAAGCGGCGCGAACGGGGCCTGGCGCCCACGGGGTCCCGCAGGAGGCCGAGGGTCCGGGGTTCGGAAGCAGAGGCCGCCCTTCTCCGCCAGGGAGGCCAGGAGGAAGGGACCCTGGGGTTCAAGCTGGGGCTCTAGAGGGGTGGGCGCCGCTCCCGCCGGGCCAGTCTGGGGCGCCGGCTGCGCGGTGGAGAGGCGGGCGCTGCTCGCGGGCGCGGTGGTTGGCCGCGACTCTGTGCGCGGGGAGCGGGAAGTCGGCGGCGACCACCGGCAGGCCCGGCCCCCAGGCCCGGCTCCCCGACCCGGCCCGCGCAGTCTGCAGTCCTCGGCCGGCCGCCCGAGTCGGCACCGCGGCGAGGCCCCAGCCAGCTGGCTTCGCTGCGAAGTTTCTTTCCCGCACAGGGAAGTCGCCCGAGCTGATCCCGGTCCTCCCGCGCCGGCGACGCGAGCTGCAGCTTCCAAGACTTGTTACACGGGTTTGATTCAAAACCTGATAAATTGTATTTAACGCTATTTGAAATTTTTAAACGAAATTATTCAAAAGATTTTTAATCCTGGATAATTTTTGTTGAAACTCTAATTATACATCACCTTAATTACCAGCCCCAGCCCCCCAAGGATCCCTAATTGCCTCCTAATTGAATAAAACAGGGGGCTAATCGGGCCCTCCGCGGCCCAGCGAGCTGCCACCAGCCTGGCCTCCCCTCAGGCGCCTGGTTGGGGGAGCCCCTGGCTGCCCGGCCACGGTCACCCAACCTCCCAGCACAAACGGCAGACCTGGTCCCCTGCCCTGCGCACTGCCCAGAGGAGGACTCAGGAGCCGAGGAAGCCTTGGGGCCAGGAGGGGCCAGGAGGCTGAGTGCCACCTGCTCTGGAGAGCCACTCACAGGACAAGGAGAGCGGCCCCGGGTGGGATTCTGGTGGTCGGTGAGCCCAGGGCAAGGCCAGCGCCTGTACCCAAGAGGCCCACCCAGCAGTTGCTCCACAAGCCAGTTTGGCAAGCCCCCTCCTGCCAGCTTCCGAGCCACGGCACACCTGCCCGCCGGGAGCGGAGGGAGGGCCTGTGGCGACACAGTCCACTGCAGCGGGGCACCAGGCCCTGGCGGCCAGCCCTGCACTCCACCCCTCCGCTCTCCACCGCAGCCTCTGTGTTTTCGTCTGAAGCGGGGCAAGACGCTGGACTCCCGCCGGACGCTTCCTGGCGCTGCTGCCCTAACCGGCCTCCTGACAGAAGGCAGCTGTCCTGGCTCTGGGGAGGGGACTGGTGTAAGGGGCTAATTTCCCCAGGGAGAGTGGGAGAAGGGAGGGCCCAGACAGCCTGGCCTGTTTCTGCAGGAAGAAGGAAGGAGGCTGTGAGCTGGGCCTTCGGCCCGGCTCACCTCTACCCTGTCTCAGGCACACCTTCCACACACAGCACCCTCAAACACAAGCAAGACACTCGCAGTCCCCACAGCGGGGGCTGCCGCTCCCCCACCCCAGGGGCTAGATGGCAGGTGTGGAGCGGACACTCCCCCAGCCCTGGGGTATGCAGCGTCTAGGACCGGGTCTGTCACCTAGATGGGGCTCAGGCCTCAAGGGGCAGCTCTGATGGGGGCGCTGGCTTCGACCCTCTCCCAGGCCACATATCCCACCTGCACAGAGGCCCCCCCAGCAGTTGGGAGGGCACCTTGGTGGTGCTAACACCCCACCTGCCCACCTGAATCACAACAGCCCTGGAAACAATGAGCTTTTGTTAGGCGTTTAGTTTGTAAATGTGGGGCCACCTCGGCCACTTCCCCAGGCCACTTCCCCACCGGCCTGCATGGAGCTGGCTTCAGTAGGGAGGACCCTGTCCCTTGAACTGTCCTTATTCTGCTCCTGGCCCCGGGCTCAGGTGGAGGAGGCTGTGGGTTTCTGTCAGCTGAGCCACAGTCCCGGCCTGAGTACCTCAGTGGCCACCTCTGTCCTTGGAAAGCTCAGCTGGGAGCCCTGGTCACCCCCAGAGCTGCTACCATTCAGCCACAGGACCAGGAGGAGCAACCCACTTGAGCTGAGACCTGGATGGGGGTCTCCAGAGAAACACAAACGAAATTACAGCCCCAGATGCACACGCGGGGATGGCCCCCGAAACGCTGGGTCATGGGGTCACCTCCACTGGCCTGGTTGTTTTCCTGTGCCCAGCCTGAACACCGGCCTGGTAACCGTGACTTTGCCCCTGCCCCACCCCGCAGTCCCCTGACCTGGTTGGTATTGTGGGGAGGGGCCGGCCGGAGTGCTGGCCCTACTGCCTCCAATTCAGGTAATAGTGACTGTGGTCCCCGGGGAAGTTAACATCTGCTTAAAATATCGCCTGATGAAATGAAATTCTTCAGTGGATCCTGCCTTGTTCAGGGCAGGCAGTGTGATCCTGAACCTGGCTCAGCCACCTTGGTGGGCCCTGGGGACAGCGGTCCCAGCTGTGGAGCCCGGAAGGAGGGGTTCCCAGCGCTCAGCCAAGTGTGGACGCAGGGCCGAGGCCTGGCTGTCACCTCCCATGGGGTTTTCCTCACTAAAGACTCTCAGGAAAAGGAAGCCAGCGCTCGGCGCTCCCGCTGGGCCCCGCTCTCCGGCCTCCGGGCCAGGCAACCAGACGGCCGCCAGACACCAGTTCTGGTCCTGAGCAGACCCGGTCCCCGGCAACCCTCCCCACCTGGCAGAGGTGGGTCCGGCGGGGAACTGGGGCCAGGCGGGCGCTCGGCGCGCAGGGGCCTCTCGGAAGTTTCCGGGGCCGCGCGGGTGCGCCGAGTCGGCCTCTCGCTTGCAGCGAAGGCCGGGCGACAGCGCAGCGGCTTTCCACTTTCTCTCTCCAGCTTCGGGCCCTGCCCGGGCGAGGGCCTGACCTGGCGGCCCGCACGCAGCCCGGTGGTCCAGACTCTGAGAAGGCCCGCGGTGCACACGCAGAACCGAACCCGAACACGCACACGCACACCCCACGCGCGGAGGGCCCGCAGCGCCCTGCACAGACAGCCCCTGCGCGTCGGCCGCGAAACGCCCGGCCTTGTTCGCACCAAGAGGGGTCAGAGGTCACGGGAGGCCGAGGCCAAGGGCACCGGGCAGCGGAGCCCGGCGGGGAGGGGGCGCCTCAACCAGGGTCCGCGCGCGGCCGACGGCGGAGCGCAGGGGAACAACTCGGAGCTGCTTTTCCCAGTGCGGGGCCTACGCTGCGGGGCCGCTGTTGGGACGAGCCGGGCGGGTCCCGAGCCGAGGGAGTGGAGCCTCTGGAAACCACCGCCAGCCCCGCGCTCACCCCTGCTCACGCTTGGGGGTTCGGCCCTGGGTGGCCGCGCGGCCGGCCTGGCGGGACCCGGCCCCGGAGGCGCGGACGGAACGGCGTGGGTCGGGTGGGGACCTCGAGGGGAGCAGCCGGGTCGCCTCTGCCGCGGGTGGGCGGGCGGCCTGCGGAGGAGGGGGTGGCTGGAGCGGGCGGCGCCGGTGCCTCTCCGCGCGGCGCTGGCCGCTTCGCTGCAGCCGGGGCATCCGCTGGGCTGCGGGAGCCGCGCTAGCCGGGCCGCGGCGCCGCCCGCCCCCACCTGCCCGCCTCGGCGGCCGCAGTTCCCAGCACCGCGGGCCCACAGCGGATCGCGCCGGCGGCCGGGGCGCGGGTTGCGCGCGGGCTACTCGGAGGCGCGGCTGCGGCGGGCGAGGGCGCGGGCGGCGGGAGCACTCGGCTCGCGGGAGGGACCGGCTGGCGGCAGGCAGGGCGCGCGGAGCCCGGGGCTCGGCCGAGACGGAGCGAAAGAGAAAGTAAGACCGAGGACCAGGCAGTGCGGCCGGGGACAGTCGCCGCCCGGCCGGGCTGTGCCAGGCGAGCGGGTGCGGAGGACTCCGCGCGGGCCTGAGGGCGGCCGCGGCGGGTCGGGAGGTGGCGGGTGGGGACCCTCCTGTGGGAGGCACGGCCACCTCGGCTGCCCGCGCGGGCTGCCTGCGTCCCCAAGCAGCGCCCTCCACCACCTCGCGGGGCACCGCCGGGGCATAAACTTCACGGCCGCAGTTCCCAGCCCGGGCAAAAGTCTCCATTTTGCTCCCCAAGCGGCTGCGGCCGTTTCTGCCGTCGCCGCCCCTGCCCCTGCGCCCGCGGAGCCGGGTGGGCGCCGGCCCGCGCCCCCTCCTCCGCCCCTCCCCGGCTCGGGGTCTCCCTCCTCTGCGCCCGGCTGGCGGACGCCAAAGGCGGTGCTCTAGCGCCCACTATTTCAAAAGCCCGGAATATGATTTGACCAGGACTGAGAGCCACTGGGGGAGGGAGAGGGAGAGAGCGAGCGGGGAGGAAAAAGTTGCTCTCCCCTTTCGTCAACTTTTCGCTAACTTTCGCTTTTCGCTCCCCTCCACCCCCGGCCCTCCCCCTCCGCCCCCCTCCCCGGCCCCCACCGCGCGCCTCGGGTTCCCGGGCCCGAGCGCCTGACACTGTTGGGGGGGGAGGGGGTTCGGCGGGGAGGGGGCCGGCGCCTTCGGGGAGCGCGCGGCCCGGGCGCCCCGAGCCTCCGCGCCGGGCCCGGTCGCCCCGGAGCGCGGGAGGCGGAGCAGCCCCCCGGGCCGCGCGGCCGAGCCGGGGGCCCCG